AAGAAGGGGGGGGGGGGGGGGGGGGCTTTTGGCTAGCTTATTCTCCCCTCCCTTCCCACACCCTTTATAAGTGAAAACGAGTAAAATGTTAAATATCTATAGCTGATTCTATTTCCTATCAGCATAAGTTTAAACGGGAAACTATAAGAACCTATAGGCTAGCTGATCGTTTCCCCCATCTGTGTTAGTTTGTAAATAGTGGGGGAACTTTTGGCCAAAGGATCCCCCCTTCCCCCCTCCCCTCTATACTAGTTAATAGCTAGGCTTAAAGCTGATTCTTTTCCCCCTATCTTTGTTAGTTAGTTTATAAGGAAAAACTATTGGCTAGCTTATATTGTTTCATAACCACACCCGCCCAATCACCGCTCGCTATATAAGTTGATGGGGAAGGGGGACTATAAGCTTGCTTCCCTCAGTATTGGGCTTACGGGGGAAGTAATTTCTGGCTGATTCTTTTCCACCTCAGTTTTGGTTAATAAGGGAGACCATTGGTTATATTAGTTATACTCCCCCCGCCCCGAATCCCCTTCAGTATAGGTTAATAGGGGAGCCCATTGGTTATATTAGCTACTCCCCCCGCCCCGAACCCCCTTCAGTATAGGTTAATAGGGGAGACCATTGGTTATATTAGTTACTCGCCCACCCCCGAATCCCCTTCAGTATAGATTAATAGGGGAGACCATTGGTTATATTAGTTACTCGCCCACCCCCGAATCCCCCTCAGTTTTGGTTAATAGGGGAGACGACCATTGGTCATATTAGTTACTCCCCCCGCCCCGAATCCCCTTTTGTATAGGTTAATAGGGGAGACTATTTGTTACTCGCCTACCCCGAATCCCCTTCAGTATAGGTAAATAGAGGAGACCATTGGTTATATTAGTTACTCCCCTCGCCCCGAATCCCCCTCAGTTTTGGTTAATAGGGGAGACCATTGGTTATATTAGCTACTCGCCCACCCCCGAATCCCCTTCAGTATAGGTTATTAGGGGAGACCATGGGTTATATTAGTTACTCCCCCCACCCCCGAATCCCCTCAGTATTGGTCTATAAAGGGAGACAATTATTGGATTGTTAGTAAAGTTATTGTTTTGTGAGGCTCCCTCACTATTTTTCCCCTGGTTACTAATACAGAGGGAGGGGGGAATCAGCTTATATGGAAGAGCAAAGACTCAGCTATCCAATAGTTTTCCCCCTAGAAACTAATATAGAGGGGGAAGGAATCAGCTAGCAAATAGTTTCCCCCAAGTTACTAATATAGAGGGGGGAATCAGCTTGCCAATAGTTTCCCCTCTGGTTTCTAATACAGAGGGGGGAAACTAGCCAATAATTTCCCCCCTAATTGCTAACACAGAAAGGGGGGAAAGAATCAGGTAGCCAATAGTTTACCCCTGGTTACTAATACAGAAAGGCGGGACATCAGCTTGCCAATAGTGTTCCCCCTGGTAACTAATCGTGAGGGGGGGGGGAGAATCAGCTAGCCAATAGTGTTCCCCCTAGTTACTAATACAGAGGGGGGAATCAGCTTGCCAATAGTTTCCCCCCTGGTAACTAATCGTGAGGGGGGAAAGAATCAGCTTGCCAATAGTTTCCTTCTAGTTGCTAACACAGAGGTGGGAATCAGCTTGCCAATAGTTTCCCCCCTGGTAACTAATCGTTAGGGGGAAAGAATCAGCTTGCCAATAGTTTCCCCCCTGGTAACTAATCGTGAGGGGGAAAAGAATCAGCTAGCCAATAGTGTTTCCCCTAGTTACTAATACATAGGGGGGAATAGATTGCCAATAGTTTCCCCCCTTGTAACTCATACAGATTGGGAAAGAATCAGCTAGCCAATAGTTTCCTCCTAGTTACTAACACAGAGAGGGGGGATCAGCTAGCCAATAGTGTTTCCCCTAGTTACTAATACATAGGGGGGAATTAAATTGCCAATAGTTTCCCCCCTTGTAACTCATACAGATTGGGAAAGAATCAGCTAGCCAATAGTTTCCCCCTAGTTACTAACACAGAGAGGGGGGGATCAGCTAGCCAATAGTGTTTCCCCTAGTTACTAATACATAGGGGGGAATTAAATTGCCAATAGTTTCCCCCCTTGTAACTCATACAGATTGGGAAAGAATCAGCTAGCCAATAGTTTCTCCCTAGTTACTAATACAGAGTGTGGGGGGAGAGAAGAAGTGGCTGTTACACCGGGACTGCCAGTTCGAACCCGACTTAGTGGTCTCTACGAAAATGGAAAAAAATACAACCTTCAACCCTACTCCTGACATATAGGTATCTTGCGTAATGTTGCTCTTTTACATGAACCGAAGACTGGATTTCTTACACACAAACAATATGATATTTTTCTATGATAATGGTGTTGTTATTTTTACAACCTGATCTCATACTGAATTAAAACTTAATGATTGTAAATTTTCCTATTTGACTGTGTAAAAGAAACTACATGTATTTCATACGGAACGATACGCAACGTGTAGCCTACAGCAGAATCACAAAACAAAGATGCCTGACATATATTCTTTATAACATTTACAGTCATACTAAACCACACCGCTTATCATCAGTATAAAATATATACGCGGGTAAAAATATTGATTATGACGTAACGTCATAATGACTGATGACGTTGTATGGAGGGTTTATCTGTGTGTGCTGGGTTTGGTCTCGACAGTTAGAAATGGGCCGGGATTTCCGACTTATATCATAGAAATCGTTAAAATTGAAAAGGAAAAGAAACATTATCTGAGACCGTATGTTTCTGTATTGAAATAGATTCATTTTATTGAAAATTATTCTACATCCAGTGGATCCAAAATGGAGGTTTTCATAAACGGAATTCGTGTACGCGCGATTTCCAAAATTATGCAAGTGAATTGACTTGCTAAGTCTATGGGATTTCATGGTAGGTTTCGACTGGGGTTTCATTTACATGTACCTATGAAGCTTACTCCGTGAGCCCTCTGCTTCGCCGGCTCATGAAGAGCGTTCGCTTTAATACAATGCTAACTTTACAGGATAAATACAGGGTTGACGTGACGTTTATGTATTGTTGACATGACGTCATTGTATTGTTGACGTCATACAATTGTTATGAATAGGGAAATCCCTCCGTCTCAACCCTAGAGTGAGAAAAGGTGTGTCTCCCGTTTTAGCCGTGAAAGATCAGCTTGTCACCCCCTAGGGGGAGATAGCCTCGTGCCGATTAGCACGTGTTCAATTGTGACGTCATTAAAATGCGTCATCGGTAATTGTTACGTCATCAAAAGTGAATGACGATATGCATACCCCACATGTGTTTTTGTTTACAAACATGGCAGACTACTGTCGGTGAAGCTGTGACTGAAATAATAGTATGGGAGAACAATAATCACCCCCTACCTTGAGGGTGTAACAGAGAAATCTCCAACCATCGAGGTGATTTTTTTGGTTGTCTAACCCTCGGCAGAGCCTCGGGTTAGACAACCAAAAAACATCACCCCTGGGATTGGAGATTTCTCTGTCACACCCTCAAGGTAGGGGAAGATTCTATTATTCTCCCACCCTTCACAGGCGTGTCTCCCGTTTTATCCGGGAAATATCAGCTTGTCACCCCCTAGGGGAGACAGCC